AACTTACATACTTTTGATAGCTTTCAATCACTTGTTGATAAAGGATAAAGGATAAAGTCTTCGCCGTTGATCAATCCCTTTGTGGGATGCGGCACGCATTCTACTTCCATTCAGAATCGTAGTGGCTTATTGAATGCGATGTGGCCTATACAATGACTTGCGGTGGCCAGCCGATGTACAAGTCAGTGTTTTATCCTCCCAGACGAATCTGGTACCAATTTACCGTCCCCGGAGGGTAGAAGGCTTGGTTGGCCTGGGCGGGTGTCGACCCGGGATTCGAACCCGGCGCCGCGCGAGTGGTAAGCGCGCCACTTGTCACTACACCACCTCCGCCTCGATAAGACGATATAAAGGGATATTAACCAACTTCATGACGTATGTCGCAGAGACGGTAGCAGTGATGTAGAGGCAGAATGGGAACGTTAGGTCCGGCGTCGCGCGAGTAGTAAGCGCGGTCTGTGAGGCAAGCCCCAAATCAATGGGCAAAGGCTTAGTGAGCCAAGATGCTTCTATTCCTTAGCGATATAGTCGAAATTGACTCGACCGCTAAACTCTAGAGTCTCACGTAAAAGCTAAAGACATTGGCAAACGTTTAGCAAAAAGGAGAAATATGATGAAAATGGCCGTATTCATACGTGAGTTAGGCCGAATTAAATGATTGGCACAGAAATTGTGTCGGTGATCAGTACCATAAGTTTGACCATGCGCGCAGTGGTGCGAGTCAGCCGGACTGGTTCAACAATATATCAATGGAAGCAGGTCATTGTGAGAAAGGCCTGTGCACATGGTAGAAGCTGGAAGCGCGAAACTACGAAAAACTTCGCTAAGCACCAGTCTAAAAAATACGAAATGAAAAGAAATATTCCTAAATTTCCGAACTGAAAGCAACAGTCACTTCGATGAAATTTCCTGTTTGGAAGAAGCTGCTACAGAAGTTATTGCAAAATTTCAAATCTGAAAAAAATGCTATCGGTAGGAAAATATAGGAAACACAACTCATACAAGCAACTCGGAAACTTCTCTAAAAACCCAAAGCGTGTCTGCACAGAAAGATCAGAAAATCGGAGAAGAAGAAAGGACAGTCACATGAAAATAGAACGTGGATATGAACACGGCCTTCTGAGTTTTACTCCAATCGCGCGATCCAGTTTGCGCGACCCCAACCGCGCAGTCCAATCCGCGCGATCCAGTTCGCGCGATCGCAAAGTCTGAACGCATAATTTGCAGGTTCTATAACAATATTCGGTAAAGATGTTGAACGAAACCCTCACTCAAGCATGGGCTTCTGTCCACAGTGGAACAGCATTTTCGAATGCTTCACCGTTGATGACCATCTTTGGTTTTTCTTCAAATTGAAAGGAGGTGACGGTAATTGGAAGGAAAATGCAAATGAGCTATGCTCATCTCTGGACATGCAACAGCTCCGGAAAAAGGTAAGTTATCTAGTGAGATCTAACTGTTTTCGATACTGGAATTGCAACTTTTCGCACATTTCTACTTTATGTACGTTCTTGCTTTAAGAAAGCTTCGAAACTGTCTGGTGGAGAAAAACGGAAACTGTGCTTGGCCATGGCTTTTATCGGAGGATCCAGACTCCTGATTTTAGATGAGCCAACAGCGGGAATGGATCCGCATTCTAGGAGAATCGTTACAGACTTCGTCATAAAACAAAAGCAAGACCGGTGAGCGTCCATGTCTATTAAAGGCAGCCCCCGCGCTAGAGTAGTACATTATCGTCCTTCCTTGTGCAGGTAGTTCAGCCCCCAAGCTAGATACTGTCCCACTCTCGCGACTCCACAGTGAGCGAGGAGCGCTACAGCCGCTCAAAGTTCTAGTTCTAACGCCCGCCCAGTTGGACCGCCCCACTTGCTAGCTGCCCTCTGACGGAGAGCCGCTCAGTTGTTCTTTGTTGGGACGGCGGGCATTAATCGGAACTGCATGTACTTTTTGCTGACCGCGCTCGTGGAATAATTCTGCTCTCCTTCATCACATTTTATTCATTGGGAGCACATACAGTCAACTGCAACCCATCTCGTAAGGTAAAACGCGTAAAAATCACGAATGATGCAATTTCTGTGGTGCAAAAGCTCGACATGCACCAAAAGCTGCACACTGCACGTAACCCCAACACCAGGTTTTTGAATTTTTCCTTTTTCAAGTGTTTTTCGTTCGTGTCTTTGTTGTTTTTCATATTCTTTTCTTTGAAATGGATGTTGTCCACTACTGGGAAATGCCATAAAGCGATTTGTGAGCCAGGGGTTGCCCACGGACCGCAGGGCGGTGTAACTGTAAGGGAGCAATTTTGTTTGTGGTGTTCTTGAGGGCTCTTGTTGCTTTTTCCTTCATTGAGGAATTACTTATCAGCTACTGTTTCATAATTGATCAGCAATTATCCTTGACACTTTTATCGCGGGAGCTGTCTTTAAATGAACCATTCGCGCAATTATAATTCGTAGATAGGAAGCCTGTAAGCGATGGTGGCGGATTGTGTGAGTGTCAGTAACGGTTGACTCCGTCAGCAAATCTGGAACATCAGCATCAGCAGTCCGATACGGGTGCTTCCTGCATCCCCTTGCTAGCAGACGTTTCTTCGCACCCTCTCACACTTCACTCCTTCAGAGTAGAACGCGAAAAACTTGACAGGTTTTTAAGACAAGAAATCATAAGTCTGTTACCCAATACTGATACGCTATCATCCAGGAGCTAATGAAACACTCCTGTGATGCTGCAATGGACGTGGGATGCTAAGGTGCTTGCAGGTCGTTCTTTTAGAGACTGGAGAGCACGCAGACTCGGAAAGAAGGGTGTCATGCTTTCCTATGCCTCCCCCCCCCAAAACAAAAGCGAGAGTTGAAGAATGTGGAGCTTTGGAAAGTTTCCTCTAACTTCTTGATTATGCTCTGCGAAAAAAACAGTATAATATCACAGAAAGGCTCACCATTAAATGGATCAAGCCTCTCATAGTAGACCCAATGTCCGTGGGTTTGGGATGCTGTTCACATATATGGTAGCCAAAACTTCTGCCTCAATCTTATGTGTGGTGGTGATTGATGATCGGTAGGACAGAGAGGGCTGAGGGGCTGACTGACAGAGTGGTAACAAGGGTTCATAAGAGTGTACTTTGAATTCCTTATGACGATTCAAAAACTATAAACCAAACTATATATAACTGAACTATACACTACAGCGCAAACCAAAGTACAGAGTTCAAGTTAGAAGTTAATGAATACGTTTCATTTCCCCCCGCTAGTGGACATAAATACCAGTGACTGATCCCATCGAGCGTAGCTTGAGGAGGACAACCAAACCGGTTTTATGAAATTTGCCCTCTAGGCCCTTGCATTCCTTTCTCCTCCATTACACAACTCATTGGAACTCCATCATTGCTTAAGCACTTTGAGTACGTCCCCTTCATTACCATCTCCCCTTTTGACCACTTTCTATCACCCTCATTTTCCCCGTCCCATTCGCTTTCATTTGTCGCCCCCCCTAACGCCCGATGTTGCGACGCGCTATAAATCTCGTGAGGAACAACAAACACATCCCTAACAAACTTATCGCATGGAGACCAAAGCGAATAAAGCGCAGAATCTCGCAGTATGACTAATCGGGTCGAACTTGACTACGTTTTCATTCGAAAGCTAGGCTAGAGAGCCAGTGTCAAATTTAGTTGGAATAGTTCTATATGGACGCCTAGAAAATAAGCACAACATTCAAGAATGAATGAGAGTTGAGCTTTGATAAGTGATTCAGCTGTATTTTTCATAATTGGGGCTCATTTGAGTTCTGGTTATCCTAATCGAACAAATGGCAGGTGCATTCTGCTCTCAACGCACTACATGGATGAGGCTGAAGCTATGGGTGATGTCGTGTACATCATGAGCATGGGACGGGCCTATGTGCAGTGGAACTCCTTTTTTCCTGAAGAAAAAG